TCACGTGACTGGTCACAGATACCTTTAAAAAAAATGGGCCTCACAATGGGCCTCAGGATCTCATCACGGTATTTTTGTGCATTAAAATCGATAAAATGCAATTGTGTTCGTTGTCCGTAGCTTATGCCTGCCCATTCCATAACCCCACCGCCAGCATGGGGCACTCTGTTCACAACGTTGACTTCAGCAAACCGCTCGCCCACACGACACCATACACATGGTCTGAAGTTGTGTGGCAGGTTGGACGTACTGCCAAATTCTCTAAAATGACGTTGGAGGCGGCTTATGGTAGAGAAATGAACATCAAATTCTCTGGCAACAGCTCTGGTGGACATTCCTGAAGTCAGCATGCCAATTGCACGCTCCCTCAAAACTTGAGACATATTTGGCATTGTGTTGTGTGACAAAACTGCACATTTAAAAGTGGCCTTTTATTGTCCCCAGCACAAGGTGCACCTGTGTAATGATCATGCAGTTTAATCAGCTTCTTGATATGCCACACCTGTCAGGTGGATGGATTATCTTGGCAAATGAGAAATGCTCACTAATAGGGATGTAAACAAATTTTTGCACAACATTTTTGAGAAATAAGCATTTTGTGCATATGGAACATTTCTGGGATCTTTTATTTTAGGTCATTTCAACAATAACATTTGATCTGACACTCCAAGTATGCAGTTACCCATACTTGATTTTTTTTTAGCCAACTTTGACTTTGTGGCTGTGGAATCGGACATTTTGACTGTAGAATCTGACTTTGTGGCCATGGTCGAAGGGTTAGTACTATCCGGAATCCTTGGGACGTCCCTACCCTATACTCTAACCTTAACCCCTACCCTAACTTTAACCAATACGCTTACCTAACCCTAACCCTTTAAAGGTACATTTCTAAATTGTTCAACTTCATATTCATCATCTCCAGCACCACCCCAACATCAACATATGTGAAAATGGTGTGTTTCTATGTTTTGTAGTAAAAAAGATAGAGGAAGAAGTGTTTCCAAGGACATAATCAACCAATTAGTAGACAATTAGTAGGCAATTAATAGGCAATGCCTACTCATAATTGGTTAAAATCACACGATGCACACCGATGATGTCATTGGAAACACTTATCTTCCTCTATCGTTTTAAAAATGATAAACTTGGATTAGCAAGCACAACGTGCCATTGGAACACTGGACTGATGGTTGCTGATAATGGGCCTCTGTACGCTTATATAGATATTCCATAAACAATCAGCCGTTTCCAGCTGCAATAGCCATTTACAACATTTACAATATCTACACTGTATTTCTGATCTATTTTATTTTATTATAATGGACAAAAAAAATGATTTTCTTTGGAAAACAAGGACATTTCTAATTGACCCCAAACTTTTGAATGGTAGTATATGTGTGAAATTATTTTTGATTTGGAATGGATGTGTCAACTGCACACTTAAATAGCGAATGGAGGACGATTTTCCCCTTCATTTTCATGCCAGCCAGGTAGGCTATGCCCCTGTTGTAAAGCGAAGTAATGTGCTTAATATTAGGAAAGTTGATAAATAGTAGGCATAGACTATAGAAAGCTGATGGGATCCTCTTCTTTTTAATAGAGTCAATCAAAACTCTGTTTTTGCACACAATTGCACTGCCTATAGAAATGTTGCGCAACATGAGCTCATGGGCTCTCATGAAGTGTTTGATTCGATTTTCAATTACATTTACATTGATGTCAGAGTGATTAGAGGGACAATAGAGTGCTGAGTACCAGGCAGTTAGCAAGTTTGTTAGGCTACTAATGACCATCAGCAGCATCAGCGCTTGGAGAAGCCTAATTACCGTGACTAAATGGTGACCGCTAGTGTGGCAGTAATAAGGTCACCGTAACAGCCCTAGGTAGGAGTGAGATTTTTGGAAAGAGTGGATTCCTGTTTTTGGCCGAACCATACATTGCGTCGGGCTGGGTAAAGGACAAACTGGGAATGGTTACATCTGTGAAAGTTTCGAGAAGTGGAATTGTTTTGATTTTTTGTGTATGCAGATCAACCTGTGGTGTGCTTTGCTCTCCTGAGCCAGGCGCTGCTAAAAGGGGTGATCAGTGGGGTAGCGTTGAGTGTAGAGGTGGATCAAATGAAAAGGAATATTCCTAGTGTTTGTGATGCCCGCCTTTTGGTGAGACATAGACCCGGTGGCAATGGCAAGACTGAGAATGCCCTGTCTGTCTTGAGATTTGACACATAGTTTCTTCTGATATGGTCAGGTTAGGTTATATTTGCTATTCTGTGAGGGCCTATGTTCTGAATCTGCTTCCGTGCTTTAGGTGCCAAGGATTCAGGCATGTTGCAGCAGTATGTATAAGGGAGATCCCACGATGTGAGAAATGTGCAGGAGGGCATAGTCAGAGGGAGTGTACAGTTGGGATAGAGAAAGCACTGTGTGTCAACTGTGGGGGTGCCCATGTAGCTGGGGATCTGAAGTGACCTGTTAGAGAGAGACAGGTTGTGATTGCCAGTGTTTGAGTGGGGCAGAAATGTTCCTATGCTGAGGCAGTGAAGAGCTTAGAAGATAGCCCAAGGGTGAGTGAGTCGACTTGGAGCCCCCCCAGTGAGTAGGCCTGAAGAGAGAGACCCAGAGAGGCTGAGTTTTAGGAAGGTTGGATTTCTTGCGTTTCTAGGCATGGTGATCAACTGCACTACACTGATGGAGCGGAAATCACAGAAGATAGATGTGGTAGTTGCAGCAGGAGAGAAATGGATGTGAGAGATTTTAGTGCAGAAGATCTACAGGAAGTTTTGAGAGAAGGGGTTCCATCCTCCCAGGCCTACGGCCTGGTGTAGGATTGTTTAGGGCCAAGTAGTGGGATGGGGTGGTGGGGTTTTGGGGATAGTGTTTAGGTGCAGGGTTAGATGGTGGTGCAATTGAAGTTCTTCCCATTCCCCCTTTCCCTTAATTGTTTTGTTTTGGCACAATGTGGAATGCATATTCTGAGAAAGGCAGCAATACACCAAAAGCGTCTAGTCTGCCGGAAATTCACAAGAAGAAGAAGAACCCTTTAACATTTACAACTTCAATAGGGTAACGTCAGATGGACTTGTTTAGATTTTTTGTGTGTCTGCTGCTCAGAGGTAGAGGGCGCTGCTCGTTTCAAGACTCAAGATGAAAGCAGTGGCCTGCTTTGCTCTCCGGAGCAGAGCGCCGCTGAAAGGAGTGATAACATGTTTATGGTCATGTCATAGTCACCATGGCGTCCTAGTAGCAGCCTAAGCACAGAGCTCCTGTAAATGTGTACATCGTTTTTTAAGGTGTTTAAAAAAAAAAAAAAAATTATCTACTCTTTTGTATTTGATAACATCAAGTTTTTATTGCATATATCTGGCATTTTTGAGCCACAGATTTTCAGATTGATTGACAGGTTAGCACTTTTTGGCTTGGCTTGCTAGCTTTTGTTTGAAAAATGTATCTGGACACAGTACCATCTTTTTTATTTCACCTGGCTGCCAATTCCTCTGTAGCTCAGCTGGTAGAGCACGGCGCTTGTAACGCCAAGGTAGTGGGTTCGATCCCCGGGACCACCCATACACAAAAATGTATGCACGCATGACTGTAAGTCGCTTTGGATAAAAGCGTCTGCTAAATGGCATATTATATTATATTATTATTATAATTCAAGATCTTTTGAGAACATAATTTGAGAAGTCGCCTGAAGCGTGAGAGGAATGGGAGATACAGAAATCCAGCAGTGCTGAGGCAGAGGGCTTGTAATGAGGACGACTGGCTACTATTCTGAACTTTGTGAGGTGAACTTTCTGGTGTCCAGAGCTGCTGAGGCATAACCCAAGTGGGTGCTACACAGAGTGGAATAGGAGAAGTCTAGTGGCTATAAGACTCAGGCTGCTTCCCAGTCTTGCCCTCTACAAGATCATCAGCAGACTTCATCACCATTGTCTACCATCCTCTGTCCAGCTCTCTTCGCTCAAGCCATGAACTGACCCTCTCCACCTTCAGAGGATGGCCTCTATTGGCTGACCTTTCATGATCAATTGCTTGTTTGTTTTTTTGCTGTTTAAGTGGTTTGAGATTCTATGAAAAGCGCTATAGAAATGTAATAAATTATAATAATAATAATAATAATAATTATTATTATTATTATTATTATGTTGCAGCAGTATGTAGGAGGGAGATTCGGAGGTGTGAGAAGTGTGAAGGTGGGCATGGGACAAAAGAATGTGTAGTTTCAGTGGAAAAAGTGGAGTGTTTCAATTGTTGGGGTGGTCATGTTGCTGGGGATCAGAAATGTCCTATGCTAGTGAGACAAATTGAAGTTTCCAGGGTGAGAGCAGTGCAGAAAGTGTCATATGCTGAGGCAGTGAGGAAAGTAGAGGATGGTTGGCAAAGGCTGAGGGAGCCTGAGAAGATCCCTGTGAGTAGTAGACCAGTACAGAGTGACCCGAACAGTTTGTGCTTTAGTAAGGTTGACTTCCTGGCGTTTATTGCTATTGTTATTAATTGTACAGATGGAAAGGAAATCCCAGAAGATTGAATTGGTAGTAGCAGCCGCAGAGACGTTTTTGGTTATCAGAGATTTTAGTGCAGAAGAACTACAGGGGATTTTGAGAGAAAGGGTTCCAGCCTCCCAAGCCTATGGCCTGGAGTAGGTTATGTATGGGCCAAAGTAGTGGGAAGGGGTGGTGAGTTGTGTTGGGGATTGTGGTGTATAGGGTTAGATGACAGTGCAATTGTATTTTCTTGAGAACAAATGTGCTATGCACTTTCCAAACTGTGAACGGCAGCAATACGAAACATAGTGTCTAGTCTGCCGGAAAGCCCCGCACGAAGAAGAAGAAGAAAAATAATAAGAAGAAGGGTAACGTCAGAGTTGGGACGTCCCAAGGATCCCAGATAGCATGAACCCTAGTAGAAAAAGACCAGACGCGGTTGCGCCATTTTGAACTGTCTGTGGATGGTCGGTGTTGGAAGGACTTGTCCGAGAGGGTGCGCGAGTGATTGAACAAGCCGGGAGAGGGAGGAAAGAGAGTCAAGCAGGAGGGTGGCCCGCAACGTCTGTCCCACGATCTAGCGCCATCATTTGAGAGAGACCGCTTGCACGAGTCCATACCCGGCCAAACAAGCCCGGGAATCGAGCGCGCGTCTAGAATCCGTCTCGCCATGGCAGGTAAATGGAAAGCGTGATGTTAGCTAGCTAACTGATAGCTATGACATCTAGCTAGCTACCTGCGGTAATAACGTTACTGTAGCTAGCTAGAGAAGTTTAAATATAGCACATAATATATATATAGCTAGCTAGTTGCTAACGTTAGCTAGGAAATCTACCGGTGGTAATAACGCTAGCTATATGTAGATTTCCTAGCTAACGTTAGCAACTGTGTTATATATATATATATATAACACAATACTGTATTTAAACTTATCTGTAAGTCAAGTTAACTTAACTAATAGCTAAAGCTAAATAACTAAGTTAGGTAACTCATGATATGTCACTGGCCCTGAACCAATCATCCTCACTGGGGTCTAACTTTGCCTAGCTCCACGTTCCTCTCACACATCATAGCTAACTAATATGCATCGCTGTCATTTCAAGCTAACTGTTAATATTAAACTGTAACTAGTCACAACTATACCAAAGACTATACTTTCCTTTACCATTGTGGCTATAGTATATAAAATAGCTAACATTCAGTGAGTTAGCCAGGCGGCCAAGTATTGGTAGTCAAGCTAACTAGCTTGCTAAATTATCCTTAATGTTGGTGGTACAATCGCGTTAGCCATCGCGTTACCTAACTAGCTACTGGTAGCTTGCTAGGCCTGAACGCAGCAAGCTAACCTAAACTTTGAGGGAGTCACCGGTGGCATTTGTGAGTCTCCTCCTCTGTCATGCATTGTGGGCTAGCTAGGCTACTGGTTAGTTAATGTTCTCGAACCACCATTTCTATATGTCTTGCAATGGAAGGCTATCGATCACATTTAACAGATTCGTCAGTTGCCGCAGCATGACCGGCTAGTTGAGCGGGAGTCGTGATGTGAAAGATGGTGGATGGATGATGACTGGCTTTTCTGAACAGCACCTTGCACCTGTACGATGTCCACCTTTAATGCCCCACCATGGATTAAGCCATGAGTCACAGTTGAGTTATATTGCTGGATGTGGGATTTGATGTAATATTTATGTGTACTTGAACATGAAGATTGTCAACACAATATAACTGTGCCATTTCCCTCAGGCTGGGATTGCATTGCTAGGTGTGATAAGAATGACCTGGCTGAAATCAGTCTAATGCAGAATGCAGCTAGCTATGACTCAGTTTATGCATGACATTCAGTGTAGGTAGGGCAAACCCGTTTTGGTGATTTCTGCTGTGGCGAACCGTGACTATAGGACTTAGGCCTTCAGAGGGACCAAAAATCGTCCATTATGTTGTATCAAACAAAAAAAATCAAGAAAATAACAACAGCTTCACTTAATGCGCCCAACATATCTTCTGTGGTCGGACCATTCGAGTTCTATTGAAGGAGGAGCAATACTTTTTGATGGCATTATGAATGAATCAAACAGGCCTGGCCGTGTTTTTCAGGCTGCCGCACACACAGAGACAGAACCGGCATGGACACAACGTGACACACAGCATAAAATAATGCACTATTTACACAACTCATGGTAGCCAACAGCACTATCACACCATCACCAATGGGGACAACAACAGTGTCACATCAAAGGTGACAGGCTCACAGTGCTGAAAGGACAGCGACTGGTATACCTGTGCACTCCATGGCACTGAAGGAGAGTACAATTTGGTCAAACACACAGACACGACTGATAGACAGTCGGCAGCAGTCACACACAGCATCAAATAATGTTAAAGAATAAGCAGCCTATTCACTCCAGTAGGCCCCATGAAATCATAATACAAAAGCACTACCATTTCATGTCCAAAATGAAATTAACAAACCAGCTATTACTTCCCATTGCAAATATATTTTATCACGTTCATCACACTAACCATTGATCTAAAGTTTAAATGCAACAATGTTTCAGTCATTATTTTCAAAGAGATAACTAACAGCAAGCGAGCTGCAACAAAAAACAGTGCCACTCACCAGATAATCATTTGTATAAAAAAAATATTGTTTAAAAGTTAATCTTAAAAGGTGATGCTAACCAATTAGCAACAACATCCACCTTGAAGTTTATAACAGCTGCTGCAGTTGCCTTCGCCATTCACACTACTACAACACAAGCTAGCTAACATTATTTTATGCTCTCCTCTTCAAGGTTTTATGGCCGACTACAACCTATTAGTGTATTGCCGCCACCTATTGTATTGTCTGTTTATCAGCCTACTATTCTGTATTATGAATTCATTACCTCTTGCGCTCTCCGTAGTGACATGTTGAAGGCCTAGACAAGTAAAAAAATAAATAATAATAAGGTCCCATCCATTGCAAGTCAAAATGTGATTGGTTCATTCCACTGTCACTCCAAAATTCTGCTCTAATACAGTTGAATGGCAGAGGCCTTCTGTCCAGCTGGCTAAGCTAGCTAGATTTTTCTACCCAGAGACCACCAAAGAAAATCCTTATTGGATATATTTTTTTCTATTCCTTATTAACCCTTCTCTTTCCAACACAAACTGAAGAGATTAAATCAGAAAATTATTACAATTATTGTAAAGATGAAATAGAAATTAAAATGAAATGTCATTCAAAAACATATACATTTTTATAAATCCTTAGGCCTTCTCTGAGTGTATTGGTGTGTGTGGCCCAGCGTGTGACAAAATCAATAGTACAAAACAAAATATGTTGATCTGTTTTAAGCAATTGATCTTGTCATCGTGTTTACAATAAACTTTTATACTAATATCACCAATCTGAGGTAAAAAGGATGTGTAATTCCCCCCCCAATTCAATCTGGTCAAAGCATCCGCTTGTGAAATGTAGTAACACGTACTGTCCACATCATGGAAAGTAGCGCAACGTAAATTAATTAGATATGGCAAAATAATTCAATTTAGGAGGATGGTAAACTAAGCAAATTCAGATTTTTACAATCACGTATTTCTCACTAGTTTAACCATTTGAGATTTTTTTAAATGCTCTGATGCACAGAAAGAACTCCCCATAGTGACTGTGCAGCAGCCCATTCATTCAACTTCCCTATTCAGTGTCTGTGAAAGTATACAGCGCTCTAAATATAGACCTGTCTGCCTTCCAGCATCTATTGTAAGTTAGCCAGCTAAAGAGGCCTTTGCAATGACTCTCTAATGATGGAATAGGGCTGGGTGACTATATCGATTCATGTTTTTGCGCAATATTCCAAATGCCTTTATCACAAGAATCAAGGTTTTGTATTTTTTGTTTTTATGAGCGTTTATGTCCGCTTGTTGTCTTTTTTTGGTCTCGTCTCCTTCGCTCCTCCTGTGCTGTGCACCTTCCCATTTACACCAGAGATCTGAATATAATGACGAGATGCTCATGTCTCCACCTAACAATGGGAGTCATTGTCCCAAAGGCTGGAAGGCAGGCGACAAGCTTAGGTCCAAAATAAGCCCATAGAAATGCATTGGGCTTATTTTTGACAGATTTTGGCGATAGTGAAACCTCTTGCTTCGTCTCTTCCTCTCTGTTTACACACACACACCAAGCCCCTGCACTCACTCCAACAAAGTTGAGAGATTTCTACTTCTTCTCTGACAAGCAGTTTCAACTCGCTATTTGAGGTTTGGTCCAACAGAATCGGTCATATTAACACCAAAGCACATTGAGCCATTATTTTACTGTAATAGAGGAGAAGTGAACCTTTCTAACGATACTTTTGTTTCAACTACTCAAATTGTGTGCAGAGAAGACACTACTAAAACAGGAGGATCAAGGAACATTGATTCTGGCAAATTAATGCTCAGTTGGTCGCGCATGGCATTGTGTTACCATGTATTGCTAGCAGCATTTTAGCCAAAGACTGTTATACTATCTAGTCTTGTGTTTTATACATGTGCAATATGCATAAAACACAATTATATAAGGAATTGGCAACTTGTTCTCATTCTGAGAAATAAGTTAGGCCACTTGATTTCAACATCTGAACAAAGTGGACAGGCTAACATCATTTTCAAACAGTTGGAGACAGACAGAAGGGTGTGTTAATAACATGTTCTGTTCTGCCTTTTTAGCTAGCAAATAGTTGGCAACTTAAAATATAAAGATTATCTGGCTACTCACTAGGATGTGGATTTGTGCTTGAAGTTGTTTTAAAACCGTGTTAATTTTCTATAATGCCTGCTACAAGAAGTTAGTAATTATTAGTAAATGTGCATTATGCATGGTTCTGGTTAAATTTGTAACAAAAGGGCATTTTCATGGACCGACATGAATGCCAGATCAGTGACTATTGCAAAAAAGCTCATATTTATCCTAATTTCACAAGATCTGAATTCATTAGATTATTGCTGACTGTTTGAGATGCTGTGTATCTGACCTTTAACTGTACAGCAGCTTATTTAGAGAGAAGAAATCACCCATACATTTGGAATAATCTAGATATGATTTCTAGGCCATATCGCCCTAGATGGAATAAGTTATTACTTGTTGACTGAGGGCTCTATTTTTTGCAGAGGCAGATGACAACCTAATTTAGCATACTAACCACACTTGTAATCAGCCAAGTAACATGCTATATGTATGAGGGTTCTGTAGTTCACTCACCCTTTTTCATGGGGCCTAATTTCAGAAAATAAACCAGTCCCATTTCCTTTTATCTATGGGACATTAGGCTTCACCCTCTTCATTGAGAACCTCATTGTCATACCCACCCCTCCTGCAGTTATCACACACCCAAACACTCTGCACCCCAAACATATTTGTATCAACAAATCTAACCAGTTCCATTGTGCAATAAAATAAATGATTACATGTGGAAATGTACAACTCAACCTGTTTCTTTGTGCAATGACAGTTTTCAATCGAGAACCTGTCGAGACTAGTTATACTGTACCTGTATTAACCCAGCCAATTTTGATAGACACATTTGAGACGGGCTATGCACAAATCTCTGTGGGGAAAGTTATATTTTTGATCTACAGTGCATTCGGAAAGTATTCAGACCCCTTGACTTTTTCCATATTTTGTTACGTTACAGCCTTATTCTAAAAAAATAAAATAATAATATCCTCATCAATCTACACATAATAACCCATAATGACAAAGCAAAAACAGGTTTTTAGACATTTCTGCTAATTTATTAAAAATAAAAATAAAACGTTTAAGACATTTACATAAGTATTCAGACCATTTTCTCAGTACTTTGTTGAAGCACCTTTGGCAGCGATTACAGCCTCGAGTCTTCTTGGGCATGACGCTACAAGCTTGGCACACCTGTATTTGGGGAGTTTCTCCCATTCTTCTCTGCAGATCCTCTCAATCTCTGTCAGGTTGGATGGGGAGCATGGCTGCACAGCTATTTTAAGGTCTCTCCAGAGATGTTCAATCGGGTTCAAGTCCGGGCTCTGGCTGGGCCACTCAAGGACATTCAGAGACTTGTCCCGAAGCCACTTCTGTGTTGTCTTGGCTGTGTGCTTAGGGTTGTTGTCCTGTTGGAAGGTGAACCTTCGCCCCAGTCTGAGGTCCTGAGTGCTGTGAAGCAGGTTTTCATCAAGGATCTCTCTGTACTTTGCTCAGTTCATCTTTCCCTCGATCATGATTAGGATCCCAGTCCCTGCCGCTGAAAAACATCCCCACAGCATGATGCTGCCACCACCATGCTTCACCGTAGGGATGGTGCCAGGTTTCCTCCAGACGTGATGCTTGGCATTCAGGCCAAAGAGTTCAATCTTGGATTCATCAGACCAGAGAATCTTGTTTCTCATGGTCTGAGAGTCCTTTAGGTGCCTTTTGGCAAACTCCAACTGGGCTGTCATGTGCTTTTTACTGAGGAGTGGCTTCCGTCTGGCCCCTCTACCATAAAGGCCTGATTGGTGGAGTGCTGCAGTTTGGCCGGGCGGCCGGCTCTAGAAAGAGTCTTGGTGGTTCCAAACTTCTTCCATTTAAAATTGATGGAGGCCACTGTGTTCTTGGGGACCTTCAATGCTGCAGGAATTTTTGGTACCCTTCCCCAGATCTGTGCCTCAACACAATCCTGTCTCGGCGCTCAACGGACAATTCCTTCGACCTCATGGCTTGGTTTTTGCTCTGACATGCAAGGATGATCAATGGAAACCGGATGCACCTGAGCTCAATATCAAGTCTCATAGCAAAGGGTCTGAATACTTTTGCAAATAAGGTATTCCTGTCTTTTATTGTTAATACATTTGCTAAATTTTCAAAAAATCTGTTTTTGCTTTGTCATTATGGGGTATTGTGTGTAGATTGATGAGGAAAAAACATTAATTTAGTCCATTTTAGAATAAGGCTGTAATGTAACAAAATGTGGGAAAAGTCAAGGGGTCTGAATACTTTCCGAATGCACTGTATTATAGAAATATCATACTGTAGTAGTATTTCCCCTGCCTTGACCTAGTGTATTATGTTTGACCTTTTGACATTAACAGCTGTTGATCTTGAGCTGTGCCTCAGTGCCTGAGAGTCATCTCTCCAAGTGTATTGTCAAAAGGCTGTGGAAGCACAGTCCTAGGACTCCTGAGGCCATTGCCGTTCATTTGGACTTTGTCTCCATGTAGTATCAGATGTTATTAAATACAAATTAGCTTATTGCACGAGATGGGACCAAGACAGTCACAGAAGGTCATTCTGTGTCTGTCTGTCTGTCTACACATTTTCTCACGGCAATGGTCAGGACACAGGCTCCCCCCTCTCTTCTAAACTCCTCTTCCTGTCAGATTTGTAACGTAAACCGTCATGCAATATCTTGATCTGTAACTGTCATTCTGCCATTTCAGGATCTGGAGGTGGGAGCAATGACGTGCAGTGGTGCTTCTCACAGGTGAAGGGTGCCATTGATGACGACGTTGCCGAAGGTAAGAGCCCTTACTCACATTGGTCATAGCAACAGTGGTACTGTACAGTGGCAGTACTTGTTGCAGAATCATCATGGAGTCTTAGTAGTTGTTAATCATAGTTTATAATAAATTGATATGTTGTGCTGGATAAATCATACTCGCTGCGACACGCTCGTCCACTTATCTTGCATTCCCCTGCGGTCACCCATGTCTCCTAATCTCCCTAAATGTTACACTGCTAGCCTTGCAGACAGTCCAACACTATGTGTAAGAGTGGCTGCAAAGTTGATTTCTGACACAGTGGCTTGATTGCTGCTTTCTCTTGTTGGCTTTTGTCCTGTGGCCTCTCATGCTGACACAGTCTGTCTGAACATCCAACAAGGTGTACTGTATGCAGAGTTCCCAAGCAACTCTATCCTCTCCTGCAAATCTTCAGACCTGCCAACCTGCACGCATTTTGCATACAATGTCTGCAATTTGAGGTCATAGTACCCTAGTACGAAAAACTACCCTAAAATACGCAAAAAAATTGGCTTCTACTTGGCACATCGTTTTTTGACTCAACAGTCTGAAGTTGGAGCTGAGCCAATCAGAGTACTCGGGTGAGGACAACTTCTTTTAACTCTCTGCTCCATCCCACCTTGGGCCTGCCCCCGGGAGTCGTAGTACTATTTTCCTCCCTCGAGCTGAATGGCAGCTCTCTACTTCGTCCGTTGACACCAATGATGTGTAAGGAAAGGGTAGGGAAAATGGAGAACGAACTGTTAGCCAAATATATTTTCCAACATTGTATGTGTTAGTCAAGCACATAACCACTATTATTTTGTAGTTATCTCCTTAGGTAAGGCGTCATTACAACGAAGGTCGTTAGCTGCAGCATTTAGTCAACTAAGCGAACACTTTCTTGCTCGCACATGCTTTGATCTCCGCAACCGTAGTAGGCGAAGGCGCATTAACTAGCATGGAAGCGCGTGGTGTTGTGGTAGTTCCGTGTGCGTCGCTGTGTGGTTGAAAACAGACATGGCAGAGAGCTGTTCCACTAATATCGTTCTTCAGAATGTTACACTGTTAAAGATTAGTAGGCCTATGTATGTTAATTAATCAGTTATTGATCTGACCTCTTGATATAAGCCATATGTTTTCATTTTTGCCATGAAAATAAATATTGGAATTATGGTATACCCTACTATTAATTAGAATAATCATTACCCCTCAATTTAACCTTAAAATGTGTCATTGAGACCACCTTCATTTCATTTTGGATCAAACACTATATTACTGTATTGGCTACATTGTTTGATATAATGGAAGACTCTAGGTTTCAGAAAATCGCAGTTACAGGTTTTTCAAAAATGCTAAATGCTCAACCTCCCCCCTACCCAACCTTAGGCCTACATCAGCACGACCCAATCCTAGGGAGAGCCCTGATTGTACAATAAAACATATTTCTAGTTAGCTGCTGAAGGAGCAGCCGATTACCAAGTATCCATAAGTCTATAGTCTACCATTCCTATTGAGGCAGTCTTCTGCCAACATCATTATTGGGCTAAAAAAGGTGCATTTGCCTATGATTTGAGCAGTGTGGGTGTCGCACTCCGCCGTCGTGGGGTTCAGGCCGGGGGTTCCGGGCTGAAGTGGTACTAAAAACAAATCTTCCAGGTTGATAGGTCTGGATCCTAGATCAGTCTATACCTGCACAGAAGGAGAACTGAGTCACCATGTGCACTGCTCCTGGTCATAAGTCAATCTCTCAACGATTTAGTGTGTGTCCCCCCCCCCTTAAACGCGATACAAACACTCACCCACTTACTCCAACCCTTGGTCCCAGGGTGTTCAGCCTAGACAATGGCCTCCTGCTGCAACCTTTCTCTGCATTGTCTTTCTGCTCCAATAGGCAACAAAGTGTGTGTGTGTGTGTGTGTGTGTGTGTCAGCATCTGTCTGAAAAAAAGAAAAAAAACACTGCTACGGCCTGTAGAAACTAGGTTACCGATCATTGTGTGTCTGCTTTGGATGCGTTCACATTCTCAGTAGAATTCTATGGCCTGCCTCAACTCATCCAGCCCTAAGGCCTAAGACTCCAGCTCCTAGATAGCAGACTCCCGAACAAATCCAATGCTTGTAATGCTGACATGCTAACTGCCCTTGCATGGATACAAGCACCTGAAATTCCTTACCTGTTAGATAGATGACAGTGGCCTAATTTCTTGTTTTCCTGACGTTGTTCAGCCGACATCATATCTACTGTGGAGTTCAACCACTCAGGAGAGCTGCTAGCCACAGGAGACAAGGGTGGCAGGGTCGTCATCTTTCAGCAGGAAATAGAGGTATGGCTGCCTGTCTGGAAGTTTGGAGTTTGAATTCAAAATCAGCATTCTTAATTCTAGTTGCGTTTGAATGAAAAGTTGATGATGATGTGGAAAACAAAAACTAACATTTTCTACCCTTTCCTCTGCCTCTTTCTCCGTCACTTACTCCATATCCTCTTTTCTTCCTCCCAACAGAATAAGAGTCATCCACAGTGCCGCAGTGAGTACAATGTTTACAGCACTTTCCAGAGCCATGAGCCCGAGTTTGACTACTTGAAGAGTTTGGAGATCGAGGAGAAGATCAACAAAATCCGCTGGCTGCCCCAGAAGAACGCAGCTCAGTTCCTGCTGTCCACTAACGGTCAGTCATTTACCTTCACCTACAAACAGCCAGTTCACTCTCTGGTGAACTTTTATACATGCATGACATCACACCACTGAGCTTTCTTTGGATGTTAAATGTATTTATCTAGTCCTGTGTACTGATTGGCAGACAAAACTATAAAGTTGTGGAAGATCAGTGAACGAGACAAGCGACTGGAGGGCTACAACCTGAAAGAGGAGGATGGACGCTGCATAGACCCCAACACTGTCACTGCACTTCGGGTACGTGCTTAGCTAGCTGATTACATGCCAGGGGCTATAGTATAGAGAAACACTTGTTGTCACTGTGTGGGCGTTGCCCATACTCATAGACCCTCACCCGCTGACTCTTCCCTCTGTGCCCTTGCAGGTGCCCGTGTTTAGACCTATGGACCTTATGGTGGAGGCAAGCCCTCGTAGGGTGTTTGCCAACGCCCACACCTACCACATCAACTCCATCTCAATTAACAGTGACCATGAGACGTATCTATCCGCAGATGACCTGCGCATCAACCTCTGGCACCAGGAGATCACTGACCGCAGTTTCAGTATCCTCAACCAGCTGTTAATTATAGGATGGGTGGGGGAAGGTGTGTTTGTGTGTGTTTACCACCAGTTTATCCCAAATTCCTTCTCAGTAGTTGTTAGTCCCCCTTTACTCTAGCCCCTCCCAGACATTGTGGATATTAAGCCAGTCAACATGGAGGAGCTGACAGAGGTGATCACAGCAGCTGAGTTCCATCCTAACCAGTGCAACACCTTCGTCTACAGCAGCAGCAAGGGCTCCATCCGCCTCTGTGACATGAGGGCGTCAGCACTATGTGACAAGCACTCCAAATGTGAGTACCTATGATCACCAGTCACTTAGTGGCTTCTGCATCAACCTCTATATTAGGGGCTTACACGTTTGACCATTAGAAAATGTCTTGAATTCATTCACATCGCTGCAGAGGAGAGATGTGGAAATATCTTGGAAAAGGTTAGCTAGCACAGCAACATGCACTTTATTATCACTAATAGCAGTTTCTAAATGAACTTTACCTCATCTCCCTCTCCAGTGTTCGAGGAGCCAGAGGACCCCAGTAACCGCTCCTTCTTCTCTGAGATCATCTCATCCATCTCGGACGTCAAGTTCAGCCACAACGGACGCTACATGATGACCAGGGACTACCTGTCTGTCAAGATCTGGGACCTGAACATGGAGACCAGGCCTGTGGAGACATACCAGGTGAGACTGGTAGAGGAAGTGTGGAGACATACCAGGTGGGACTGGCAGAGGGAGTGTGGGGACGTACCAGGTGGGACTGGCAGAGGGAGTGTGGGGACGTACCAGGTGGGACTGGCAGAGGGAGTGTGGGGACGTACCAGGTAGGACTGGCAGAGGGAGTGTGGGGACGTACCAGGTGGGACTGGCAGAAGGAGTGTGGAGACGTACCAGGTGAGACTGGCAGAGGGAGTGTGGAGGTTTGAGGTTGGGGAAAGTCAACAGATTTGGTAGTGTATGTGTGCATGCATGACTGTAAGTCGCTTTGGATAAAACGTATGTTAATTATGTATTAAATCCTCTAAGAAAACCAATGGTCCGAACCTCACCTCTAATAACCTGGTCAAAAATAAGGAAAATTGCACAGCATCGTGTCAGCTAGGCTGGATACTGTGCGAGAATTAAGCTACCAGACATGCTCCCGTTGAACTCGTCATCTTTGTTCTCGAATCCGCAGGACATAAAACAATATAGAGGTAAGATGGATATCGATTTTGAGACGTGACATGTAGTATTTTCATATTTTTAGTATACACTTTTCATATTAATGCGAAGATTTCTCACAAAAACAAGCGTATCTCTGTGAAATGTCAACGGAGCACTGAGCGTACTGCAAGCTTTTTATTTTCAAAGCCTTTTACATTTAATTCAGCTCGTGTCATGGTAATTTTGCTTTTTGCGACCAGTAAAACAACATGTAAAATCCTCAAAAGTTGCTTCGAGAAAGCTGCACCACTCTGTCAACAGAGCTCTGTGCTTATTATCGGATGTATAAGGTTAAGAAATCCGACTTTATGGATGGACTGTTAATGAAATGTTAGAGCGAGACCCCACTGAACAATTAAGAACATGAATAATCATATTGGTCTTGGTAAAAATGCATTTTATAACATAAGGAAGTGAAACGTCATCACCAAAGCGCGTTTTCACCCACTCTGGGCAGAATGGGTTTGACACCCAATATATTATTATATATGGTAGAATTTATTTTAATCAGAGTGCAGATTTTTATCAAGGACTGACCCACCTTATTTTCTTTATGCCGTTCAGACAATGTCCACTAGGGGGTACTCTAAGATTATGTTTTTGCCAGACTGCTGCACTATCGCACCCTGAAAAAATTAGAAGCCAAACAATGAGTTTTACTTTGAACTTATTTAATGGTGTTGTAGGCCATTTCAATCATCTGAACCCGCACATTCTAAATATTAGATCCAAAATGACCCTCCTAAATACCCAGAATTGACCACTGTGGTGAACTCTGAGCTGAGGTTAGAGTATCTGACTCTAAGTTGATGACCTCTGACCTGTCTGTCCCCCTCCATGGCAGGTTCACGAGTACCTCAGGAGTAAGCTGTGCTCGCTCTATGAGAACGACTGCATCTTTGACAAGTTTGAGTGCTGCTGGAACGGAAACGACAGGTTAGCATTGCCAAGTCCTCAAATTGTATTCATAAATGACAATAACAAGCCCTAGGTTCTTCATTCCTTGTTTTAATCCTCTCCCTCATGTTCCTCTACAGTGTGGTGATGACGGGCTCGTACAACAACTTCTTCCGGATGTTTGACCGGGGCCAGCGGCGGGACGTGACCCTGGAGGCGTCCCGGGAGAGCAGTAAGCCACGGCAGGTCCTGAAGCCCCGCAAGGTGTGTGCCGGCGGGAAGCGGAAGAAGGACGAGATCAGCGTAGACAGCCTGGACTTCAACAAGAAAATCCTCCACACCGCCTGGCACCCCCAGGACAACATCATTGCTGTGGCAACCACCAACAACCTCTACATATTCCAGGACAAAGTGAACTAGATGTGCCCGTGAAGGCAGACATGACATCCACTACCTTCAGCCTCTAATTTTAGTCCAGGACAAAGTGATTGAGTGACAACAACGTCGCAGTCAACAACAACAAACCTGTCAATGGACAAAACAGACTTTGCCATGTTTCCAGGTGTGGAAAACTGAAACCTCATTCTTGCCCACCATCAGCCTCTGTGGCACAGTGACACGTCGCTCACATTGTTATTGTTTCGGTGATGTTGTGCCAATCTGTGTGCCACCCACCAAGTATCGCCCCACCCAGCCCAGCCCCAGGGCAACATGGGTAAAGAGTACCATGTATATGTATGTCTAACAACCACACTTAGAAAAATCAGAACACACCTAGAACTATCCCTGCCCCTGTTCAACAACTCCTCTCATTGGCTGGTGTCATAGTCATGTTTTTTATTAGTCAACTGCAAATCTGTTTGTTTTCTGTTTTAATTAAATTGCAAGAACTGGAGTTTTTATTTTTGTTCCTCTTCATAGTTGGAAAGGAAAAGGCGCAATGCTCGCTCACAGTTAAAAATGATTTTGCTTTATTTAAGCAAGGTTAAAAGATTAACGTTTCGGCCTTCATCATACCACATACTTCTTCACATACACACATGCACGCACAAACAAAAATGTATACACAAACTCAGACACAAACTCACACTTATCAAAGAGCCTAGCTGTCTCTCAAAGCTGTTGCTGCTGTTGGTGGACTGCTGCACCTCAGAGGAACACTCTAAAACATGTACTGAGCATGTTGTATGTATGTATGTATGTAGTGTGACTGGTCCTTTCTGCACACACTACTAGATGCACAACCAGTCTGTCTGGCCCAGTGAGGACTCCTTACTACTGCTATTGCTGTGGGTGGACAAGCAGGCCAAGGCTTGGGAGAGACTTGACTGAGTCTGGGAACCAGGGTTCTTGCTGTGTCTTGTCGTTCTTTTTTCCCCAAATTTTATTTTGTTCCTGTTTTCTGTTGTCAAAGAGAAGTGCTATAGGTATCATACTTGATCTGTATCATTGTACTCCAATAGTATACCGCTAATGACATTGAAATGCTATAGATGTGTGTAGCGTTTTAAGCCGGCATTTTAAGAAGAACTGCCACAATGACAGTGGCAAGGTTCAAGAAAAATCCTGAAACTGAGTACCCATTACTATGCTCTAATATGATCTTGCTCATCTCATGACTACACCAGTGAAATTTGAAGGTTGAAGTCATGATGACGTTTGACAATAATTACAAATACAGTCCAACTGTTGTAAATCTACAGTGATGGGAATAAAGTAAATACCCTTTTTTACTTATGTGTCACGCCCTGGTCATTCCATTGTGCTTCAGAATACACCGTATTCCTGCCATGTCATAGTCCAATGATGATCCCTCTGTTGATAACCACCTACATGGAAATAGGAGTCCTGACTATTTATGCCCCGGGTACATGACGTTCTTGAAATGGAAATTGGGGAACAAGGACTTGTAAATGTGCACCTTGGGTACATGCAAATGTGCACATTCTCAAATTAAAAGGGTCTTTCAGGTCTCGGAAACATACAGATGCCAGTAGTTGTGAAAGTAGCGAACGCCCATTTGATCATTTTATTCCTGTTATTTTCTCACGAGGTGGTTAACTATTTCCAGCACGTTGCATAATATTAGCCTGCCCCGCTTGACTACCTTTATCAACAACTGGCTTACCTGACGTCATCAGTTCCAGGAAGATTGCTGTTCTCCTACCTACTGGTTCCAGATCAGCTAACAAAAGACAAATATTGTGGCTGTGTGGCTACTCTGCAACAAGGTAAAGGCGACCCAGGTCAGTTTTGGTGGTACGCGATTGCGCGCACGTCCGAATGTGTGCAGGGAGTGCGCGTGTTCCATTGACAGTCTTATGCAAGCCACCCTGCACACAGGCAAGATGTCCGAAGCTGCTGCTGTATCAGACAACAACAGACTAAATGGTATGTGTCGTCGAAATGCTTAGTTATATTTTGCTGTCATTCTAACTGTTTATTAGAAAACTTGTCAGGTAATTTGAAACTGTGTCTTCTGATACTTTACTATCTGGTTTTGAGAGATAAAACAATATCTACTGAGCTTTGGGTTGATTTTCTATGTAGACATGGAGAAAGGTTGTGGGAGGGACAACATTGTGAACTGTGTGCTATTTCTGTATTGACAGTATCATGGACCAATAGGATTTTAAGAGGCGGTGTAAACTGTATGATTGACCAGCAGTAAACCAATTGTTGATGGACGAGGTGCTGAATAGGCGGGCAATTTTGACGTCAACAAGACATAGAGATAAATAGAGGACTCATCTTTATCTGTGCAATTATAGCTTCTATGGCAGGATGGGCAGCGCCATTGAGGCTACAACCCACAGGAACCTCCACCCAGTATTTGAATACTATGACTACTTTAAAATGGCGGTAGCATGGTGGATGCCCTCAATGGCGCTGTATACGCTAAAATGGCCCTTTGGCCACTAGAGGCTTCTATCATTCTCTATGCAACAAGACACGATGGAAGAAGTCTGAGAAATCAAAAATGGGGTTTGGCCAAATGTTCGGAAATTAAACATTTAATTAGTTCACATACCCAAGGGCTGAGGAAAAAAACATTACGAAAACCTAACGAAATATACTTAGACATATTACTAAAGTATTTAGGTTTTTATGCATAATCAGCTAATTTTACATTATGTAACAATGTAATAGCTACTTGCCGTCGATGTAAACAGTAAATATAGCCTACTGGGCTATTTAATCTGGGTTTGACTAGATGGGATGCAGCTAATGTCTGAAAGAAGTGACTTTTCGTAGCAGGTTAGGATAATTAGGTTGAGGTTAGGAAAGGGGTTAGGGTTAGCTAAAATGCGAAAAAAACTCGCCGACGCGACTCGAACATGCGACTTCTGACGTCACTTTGTCATTAGCTGCATCCCTTCTAGCCATGACCAGTTAATCTGCGAGTGTGAATTTAAATGTAGACCAACCAGCAAAGAGTATCTTGATACACCTACAAGCGCACCTCAACACACCTGTCAATGTGGGATTGCTGCACTCGACAGTCTGGTCAATTTGTATACAGCCTGATACCTAATGGAAAATAATAATACAAAATGATCAGTCTAATGCTCTATGTCATATCATATGCTTTATTACAGGTGTATTCACTATATCAGCCCCAAACATACATTTTAACACAATTTAATCTTAACATTGCATTGTGATCTTCCTTTGTCAGAGCCTTTACTCAACTGTGTTTGTCGTTATGAGTGTGTCTATATGGATATGTCCTGTTAGCACATATTGATGGAGTATGTGATCAGACTGGAATGGACTGAGGGACGTGTTTATCAGAGTGTCACACACACCATGCATCTGGAGTAATCAGACAGTCAGCTCTGTGTTAACCTGCCTTTATGGGGCTGGGTTTGGATGTGGTGAAGCATTACCAAGCCCTGAACCAGGGGGGCTCGTTGACTTGGCGCGCTGATTTATTTATGGGCACAGTGACGCGGGAACAGACGTTCTGGACATGTGGAGAAAGTTTTTCAGGACACACCAGGGCCAGGAGGGGTGGAGTACGAAAGTGGGGGTGGTGAGGCGGGGGATCAGAAGCCTTTCATTCTGAAGTTTGAGAGTACATGTCGTGTCAGTTACTTGCTAGCTGCTGTGAGGGCCAGGGAGGGAACAGGTTTGTTATTGCTAGAGACAGCTTACTCACTCTGCCTATAAATAAGTGGACACTCATTTTTGCTGTGTAATTCTCACAATTGAGTAAAGCTTCCTGTCCACTGAAGCGTCATTGTCGAATAAAAAAGTTTGGTAACAGAATGACAGCACAAACAGTCATTCTGTTACCAAACTTTGTATCTGCACTGTTCTTCAAGTAAATGTGTTTTTGTAAAAATACATGTGGAAATTGTTAAAAGTAGTCCTTGTGCATAGAGTTATATTGTTTGTTTAACTTTGCAATCATTGGTTTTTGTTTGACACATTTTAAAGGGATACATCTGAGTCTCAGCATCACTCTGTTACAATGGAATTGCCCATCTCACTCCCATCCATACACTAGAAATTCAGTTGACTTTACTCTTCTATTGTGAGTCTTTGGAGCCATTGGTTATATTTTATGGTAAGAACGAACCAGGAGCTATGTTTCTCTACCCCTTTTTGTTTGAATCTTTTCAGGGTGTCTACCAAGTCTCTATGCTGTTTAATGGATCCCCCACACCCAATAAGTCAGGTTAAATGCTTCAGCCATACAAAAGTTATACTTAAATCCGAACTGGTTCTCCAGCAAATTAGTAAGATTGTCTCACCCCATGTTCAAGAATGGCCTTTTTCCCTTTATTCAGTCATACAAAAGTTATACTTAAATCCGAACTGGTTCTCTAGCAAATTAGTAAGATTGTCTCACCCCATGTTCAAGAATGGCCTTTTTCCCTTTATTCAGATTACATCCTCTCACTTTCAGTTATTTGAAAAGGAAATCATCTCCCAAATATCACTATTTCTAAAACAAGCCATAGAAAGTTGGTTGCAATTTCAATTGAATCCTCCAGAAACGACAGTACAAATAATGCAACAAATATTGTGGTTAAACTCAAATATACTAATTGATAAAAAAACATTATTTTTTGAAAAATATTTTTTTAAAGGTATAATCTTCGTAAATGATATCATAGGTAGGACTGGTGGAGTTATGTCGCACATGCAGCTAACAAAGACATGGAAGTGTCTGCTCTACCCAAAATTTCAACCAAATAATTGCAGCATTACCGCAAAAATGGAAGAGGAAAGTGGAAGGGGGAAAAAATAAGGAACTTGTCTGTCGGCCCTGCATTAAAGAACATAATTGGTTAAAGAAAATTGTGATAAATAAAAAAGTATACCAATTTAATTTAAGGACCAAAGGATTGACAGCCGTCCCATATAGATTGCAAAATAGTTGGGAAGAGATTTTTGACGTACCGATTCCATGGCATAGTGTTTATGAACTGATACACAAAACGACGGCGGATTCAAAACTTAGAATTTTTCAATTTAAATTATTATACAAAATTCTTGCTACCAATAGAATGTTATTTATATGGGGGATACAATCTTCCCAGCTCTGCAGATTTTGCTGCGAAGAGACAGAATCATTAGATCATTTGTTGAGGGATGGGACTAATAACAACTAACAACAACTAATAACAACAAGATAACTAATGTAAAGCATACTGTGTCCATAATAAGTATATAGGTTATAGGTTGTGAGCTTTTCTGAAAGAGCACAGTTAGAAAGATATGGCATAAAGAAGCAAACCGGATGGACGTCATGAAAAGGATCAGAGAGGTTGAGGGTAGAGGAAGTTCAGGAGTAAAAACAAACAAAATATAATTATTGTTAAAAAAAATTATATGCCCTGGCTAAGGGAAGGAGGTTCTCACCCAAGATTTGACGGTACATGGCCCCGTCCATCGTTCCTTTGATGCGGTGAAGTTGTCCTGTCCCCTTAGCAGAAAAACACCCCCAAAGCATAATGTTTCCACCTCCATGTTTGACGGTGGGGATGGTGTTCTTGGGGTCATAGGCAGCATTCCTCCTCCTCCAAACACGGCAAGTTGAGTTGATGCCAAAGAGCTCCATTTTGGTCTCCTCTGACCACAGCACTTTCACCCTGTTCTCCTCTGAATCATTCAGATGTTCATTGGCAAACTTCAGACGGGCATGTATATGTGCTTTCTTGAGCAGGGGGACCTTGCGGGCGCTGCAGGATTTCAGTCCTTCACGGCGTAGTGTGTTACCAATTGTTTTGGTCCCAGCTGCCTTGAGATCATTGACAAGATCCTCCCGTGTGGTTTTGGGCTGATTCCTCACCGTTCTCATGATCATTGCAACTCCACGAGGTGAGATCTTGCATGGAGCCCCAGGCCGAGGGAGATTGACAGTTCTTTTGTGCTTCTTCCATTTGCGAATAATCGCACCAACTGTTGTCACCTTCTCACCAAGCTGCTTGGCGATGGTCTTGTAGCCCATTCCAGCCTTGTGTAGGTCTACAATATTGTCCCTGACATCCTTGGAGAGCTCTTTGGTCTTGGCCATGGTGGAGAGTTTGGAATCTGATTGATTGATTGCTTCTGTGGACAGGTGTCTTTTATACAGGTAACAAGCTGAGATTAGGAGCACTCCCTTTAAGAGTGTGCTCCTAATCTCAGCTCATTACCTGTATAAAAGACACCTGGGAGCCAGAAATCTTTCTGATTGAGAGGGGGTCAAATAGTTATTTCCCTCAATGAAATGCAAATCAATTTATAACATTTTTGACATGTGTTTTCTGGATTTTTTGGTTGTTATTCTGTCTCTCACTGTTCAAATAAACCTACCATTAAAATTATAGACTGATAATTTCTTTGTCAGTGGGCAAATGTACAAAATCAGCAGGGGCTCAAATAAATTTTTCCCTCACTGTATTTATGTATGTATATATATATATATATATATATATATATATATATATATATTTGCGAGAAGAAAAAAAAAACATATGGGGGATTGGAAGTGATGCAGAAAAATTGTAAGTCAGGTCTCCAGGAGCTTCATGGGGTTTTGGTGGGCTTTGTTCCTGTGGGGTTCAAGCCAGTTTGACAAGGGGTTGTGGATGGTGGTCAGGTCATAACACTTCCTGGGCTTCTCTGTGACCCCCTACAACAGCTGATAATGGCTACACGACAGAGGGAAGAGCAGCCAGAATGTTCGGCTCACCACCGGCGCCATGGTAACCTTGTTTAGGCCATGGAGCATAGACAATAGCTGTAGACAGTGGCTCGGCTCAGGCCACTGTGTCATCCTCGGGATGAGCCTGGGTGCTGACTGAGTGGCTAAGTCGGCTAGGCTAACTGTCACATGACCAGTGTGTTTACTCTCTGCTATGAGCTCATGTGCTCTGCTTGTGAGCTCTAGCTTCCTCATTTCTGGGAGGATGTGTGAAGGAAAAAGAGAGAGAGATTTGAAATGTCTTTATTCCTTTGAAATGTTTGTGAGTATAATGTTTCTGTTCATTTTTGATTGTTTATTTAACTTTTATTTCTTATCTATTTCACTTGCATTGGCAATGTAAATATATGTTTCCCATGCCAATAAAGCCCTTTGCATTGAATTGAGAGACTGGATGTCTCTCCAGTGTCAGTATGTGGATGTCTCTTGCCCTGCAGCCACTTGCCTACCAATATAGCAGTGGTCCCCCCCCCCCTACCAATATAGCAGTGGTCCCCCCCCCCTACCAATATAGCAGTGGTCCCCCCCCCCCTACCAATATAGCAGTGGTCCCCCCCCCCCTACCACTATAGCAGTTGTCCCCCCCCCTACCAATATAGCAGTGGTCCCCCCCCCCTACCAATATAGCAGTGGTCCCCCCCCCTACCAATATAGCAGTGGTCCCCCCCCCCCCTACCAATATAGCAGTGGTCCCCCCCCCCTACCAATATAGCAGTGGTCCCCCCCCCTACCAATATAGCAGTGGTCCCCCCCCCCCTACCAATATAGCAGTGGTCCCCCCCCCCTACCAATATAGCAGTGGTCCCCCCCCCCTACCAATATAGCAGTGGTCCCCCCCCCTACCAATATAGCAGTGGTCCCCCCCCCTACCAATATAGCAGTGGTCCCCCCCCCTACCAATATAGCAGTGGTCCCCCCCCCCTACCAATATAGCAGTGGTCCCCCCCCCCCCCCCCCCCTACCAATATAGCAGTGGTCCCCCCCCCCCCTACCAATATAGTAGTGGTCCCCCCCCCCCCCTACCAATATAGCAGTGGTCCCCCCCCCCCTACCAATATACAGTGGGGAGAACAAGTATTTGATACACTGCCGATTTTGCAGGTTTTCCTACTTACAAAGCATGTAGAGGTCTGTAATTTCTATCATAAGTACACTTCAACTGTGAGAGACGGACTCTAAAACAAAAATCCAGAAAATCACATTGTATGATTTTTATGTAATTAATTTGCATTTTATTGCATGACATAAGTATTTGATACATCAGAAAAGCAGAACTTAATATTTGGTACAGAAACCTTTGTTTGCAATTACAGAGATCATACGTTTCCTGTAGGTCTTGACCAGGTTTGCACACACTGCAGCAGGGATTTTGGCCCACTCCTCCATACAGACCTTCTCCAGATCCTTCAGGTTTCGGGGCTGTCTCTGGGCAATACGGACTTTCAGCTCCCTCCAAAGATTTTCTATTGGGTTCAGGTCTGGAGACTGGCTAGGCCACTCCAGGACCTTGAGATGCTTCTTACGGAGCCACTCCTTAGTTGCCCTGGCTGTGTGTTTCGGGTCGTTGTCATGCTGGAAGACCCAGCCACGACCCATCTTCAATGCTCTTACTGAGGGAAGGAGGTTGTTGGCCAAGATCTCGCGATACATGGCCCCATCCATCCTCCCCTCAATATGGTGCAGTCGTCCTGTCCCCTTTGCAGAACAGCATCCCCAAAGAATGATGTTTCCACCTCCATGCTTCACGGTTGAGATGGTGTTCTTGGGGTTGTACTCATCCTTCTTCTTCCTCCAAACACGGCGAGTGGAGTTTAGACCAAAAAGCTCTATTTTTGTCTCATCAGACCACATGACCTTCTCCCATTCCTCCTTTGGATCATCCAGATGGTCATTGGCAAACTTCAGACGGGCCTGGACATGCGCTTGGCTTGAGCAGGGGGACCTTGCGTGCGCTGCAGGATTTTAATCCATGACGGCGTAGTGTGTTACTAATGGTTTTCTTTGAGACTGTTGTCCCAGCTCTCTTCAGGTCATTGACCAGGTCCTGCTGTGTAGTTCTGGGCTGATCCCTCACCTTCCTCATGATCATTGATGCTCCACAAGGTGAGATCTTGCATGGAGCCCCAGACCGAGGGTGATTGACCGTCATCTTGAACTTCTTCAATTTTCTAATAATTGCGCCAACAGTTGTTGCCTTCTCACCAAGCTGCTTGCCTTTTGTCCTGTAGCCCATCCCAGCCTTGTGCAGGTCTACAATTTTATCCCTGATGTCCTTACACAGCTCTCTGGTCTTGGCCATTGTGGAGAGGTTGGAGTCTGTTTGATTGAGTGTGTGGACAGGTGTCTTTTATACAGGTAACGAGTTCAAACAGGTGCAGTTAATACAGGTAATGAGTGGAGAACAGGAGGGCTTCTTAAAGAAAAACTAACAGGTCTGTGAGAGCCGGAATTCTTACTGGTTGGTAGGTGATCAAATACTTATGTCATGCAATAAAATGCAAATGAATTACTTAAAAATCATACAATGTGATTTTCTGGATTTTTGTTTTAGATTCCGTCTCTCACAGTTGAAGTGTACCTATGATAAAAATTACAGACCTCTACATGCTTTGTAAGTAGGAAAACCTGCAAAATCTGCAGTGTATCAAATACTTGTTCTCCCCACTGTAGCAGTGGTCCCCCCCCCCCACACACACATATATATATATACATACATACAGTGCATTGGGAAAGTATTCAGACCCCTTTTGTTACGTTGCAGCCTTATTCTAAAATGGATTAAATTATATGTTTTCCTCATCAATCTACACACAATACCCCATAATGACAAAACGAAAACAGGTTTTTAGAAAATTTTGCAAATGCCAAGCGTCATTTTAGAATAAGACTGTAACGTAACAAAATGTGGAAAAAGTCAAGGGGGCTGAATACTTTCCGAATGCACTGTGTGTGTATATATTCTTCTTTATTTTTTAAGAAACTCAGTCCGGTTTTCATCTTACTCTTGGAAGTTGTAATAGTAGAATGCAGAGGTGCAATTTCGAAATTGGGTAGTGCATCATCAGTTTTCCTCTTGTCATGTCAGTCATTGCATACCTTAGAGAGCTATTTATAACTTGTAAGAAATGTCCAGATCAACTAGCCCATGTCAGCTATGTTTTACAGGCCATAGATTTTGTTGTAATGTTTGAGTCACCCAAATATCACATGAATACACATTAGACATTTGCAAAATGTATATAATTGCAAGAAAGTTACCTTTAAAACTGCAAAATGTTCTCTGCACCCCATGACAAAATGTGTAGGATTGCAGGAAATAAGCTTTAAACCTGCAACAAATTCTCTCCACCAACAAGAGGGGTGTGAACAGTTTGTGTCATGAACAGTGCTTGTGCCCATAGAAATAGACGTGGCGCACGCACGCTCAGGGGGGGCGCGGGATGTTCCCCAATGCTGGAAGGGGGGCTTGAGTGCAAAAGTTTGGGAACACCTGCAATAGAGGACTACAATGGAAACCAGTGTTTGACTTTTTGTGTGTATAATCCTCTGCGATTTTGGTACATGTATTGGTTGCCTGGTGTGGCTTGTTTATGTATTTCAAATTGCCAAATCAAAATTCCAGTGTCAGTGTGACTCCCAAGAGTTTGTATGCTAGCTGTTTTTGGCACTCTCCCCTGTAGCGAGTCCCTGCCTGGGCTCACGTAGGAGCATGGATCAGCTGGCTTGTATATCATACCAGGGACTGTAAGAAGTGACAGCACACAGAGGTATTTACTGCCCTTTCACCATGAAGTAAATAGATATAAGACCGGCTTAGGGAGGGTTAAACTTTCATACTTGTGGTTGTGTGTTTCTGCCAGACTTTCTGACTGTCTAGCTCAGTGTTCAACACATAGTGCCCTCCAAGCTCATCACTAAGCTCTGGACCCTGGGACTAAACACCTCCCTCTGCAACTGGATCCTGGACTTCCTGATGGGCCGCCCCCTGGTGGTGAGGGTAGGCAACAACACACCCGCCACGCTGACCCTCAACACGGGGGCCACTCAGGGGTGTGTGCTTAGTTTCCTCCTGTACTCCCTGTTCACCCACCACTGAGGGGCTGCGCACAACCCCAACACCATCATTAAGTTTGCTGACAACACGACGGTGGTAAGCCTGATCACCGACGACAATGAGACAGCCTATAGGGAGGTCAGTGAGCTGGCAGTGTGGTGCCAGGACAAAAACCTCTACCTGAATGTCAGCAAGACAAAGGAACTGATCATGAACTACAGGAAACGGAGTGCCGAGCACGCCCCCATCCACATCGACGGGGATGTAGTGGTGCGGGTTGAGAGCTTCATGTTCCTCGGTGTCCACATCACTAAGGACTTTTCATGGTTCAAACACACCAACACAATAGTAAAGAAGTTACGACAACACCTCTGAAAATATTTGTCATGGGCCATCAGATCCTCAAAGTTTTACAGCTGCACCATTGAAAGCATCTTGACTGGCTGCATCACCGCTTGGTATGGCAACTGTTTGGCATCCGACCGCAAGGCGCTACAGAGGGTAGTGCGGACTGTATATAGCTGCCCAGACTATCTGCATTGACACTTTTTGCACTAACTCTTTTGACTCATCACATACACTGCTGCTACCTTTTATTATCTATCCTGTTGCCTAGTCACTTTACCCCTACCTATATGTACATATCTTCCTCAATTGCCTCTTACCCCTGCACATCGACTTTGTACTGGTACCCTGTGTATATAGCGAAGTTATAGTTACTCATTGTGTATTTATTCTTCGTGTCATAGTTTTTTTTCTAAAATTTTTATATTTTTCTCTCTGCATTGTTGGGAAGGGCCAATAAGCATTTCACTGTTAGTAAGTAATCATTTTCACCTGCTTACGAAACGTTTGATCTTCATCCTCTCCATCCTCCCTTGTCTACGTTTTTTCATCAGTTGTCAATGTTTTTCTTATAATTGTTAGTTCAGCATACAGGCACAATGTCCCAAGGTCTGCTCTAACAGAAACCATAGTAATAACATTGACAATGAGATACAAAAACATACCGAAGTTGCCCTCTAGAGCTCAATAGGAATATGTTTGCTAAGTCTCCCCACTTAGGAATGTAACCAATGCCATGTGTCACATGTGTGCTTGTCCTCAGGGTCCTGGGTGGAATTGGAGATGAACAAAGCTGCGGCCGCGACTGTGGCGGGGTTGTCCCAGTCTGCCTCTGCCGTGGGCCAGGCTCTGGGGCTGCTCCCCCTGCCTCAGGTGGAGGAGGAGGTGGAGGCCATGGTGGGGGGCCTGGAGCACGTGCCCTCCTCATCCTCCATCCATAACGGAGACATGGAGAGGATTCTACTGGACGCTCAGCATGAGTCCAGCCGCAGCAACTCTTCCTGTGACAGGTAGGGGGCAGAGTATAGTTCGAATCTTGGCCTTGTAAAACTAGGTAAAGATAATTAAAAACTTTAATACAATTAACAAACAGTTTATTCACCTGTAACTCTTTTGATTTCACTGGTGTGGGGTCACATACTAGCCCCACATTAATTTAGATGTAATCTCTGAATGTATATAGTAGTATATATATAGCATATAGTATGAAGTATGCTGTGATGGCGATATAAATAGAATCTGTTTACAATAGGAAACAACATCCTCATCACCTGTGGTCCCCCACCTAATTTAAATCCACTCACACTGTGTGCTTTCCATTTCCGACCCATGAGGGTGCCTGCCATAAACCCAGGCTTATCTGATCTCCGGAGTCAGTCAGCTGTCAACGAGTCACCTGACAATGTTTACCAGGGGTGTTTCTACAACAGCTTACTAACTGTAGAAGCTCACAGACAGACAGACAGACTCATCCACTTTGAGGTTGCAGGCTGAGAGGCAAAGTGAGATCATAATAGAGGCAAGATCTGCATGCACATTTAGCCATTAGAGATGAAATCTCTTGATTAATGCATTGGGAATTTGAACATGCCCCAAAACTTCAACCTGATTACTGCCTACAAGTATACATTCTCATTTACCAAGGGAGAAAATACTTGGAGTGCAGTGATTGGCTGTAACAGTTTTTATTTTGTTATTTGATCCTCTCCACAGTCCTCCCCGGCCTCATAGTCCCCAGGAGGATGATCATGATGGACAGATCATATTTGATGTGGACGTGAGCAGCAGGAGAGACAGCCAAGTAGGAGTTATTACTCAGTCTGCCTGAGCTGCATACGTCACCTGTCTGTTTCCATGGCAATATAACCTGCTGCTTCCCTCACTCTCTGTATCCATGTGAATGACAACCATAGCATTTGTTACTATGGTGATGGCGGCAGTAAACCCCACCCCGGTGGGTTTGAATCCATGGGCATGGCAGTAGCCACAGCTTCAGGTTCCATTATAGTTACACACACACACACACACACACACTCTCTGTCAGTGGATGACATGGCAACGCCACACTCTTGTCTGTTGATAATAATAATAATAATAATAATAATAATAATAATATGCCATTTAGCAGATGCTTTTATCCAAAGCAACTTACAGTCATCGAACCCACTACCTTGGCGTTACAAGCGCCATGCTCTAACAGCTGAGCTACAGATGATCTCCATTTGATGAATGGAGATGTTGCCGATTGACTCTCTGTGCCTGTAAACATGGCAGCCTCACACACAGGGTTTATTGTAAGGTCTGTATTGTATGGGCGATCGGCCATATAGTCTTAGTAGCTCACCCTAGGCATCCTGGATGAGCTTGTTGATTGTACTAAGTTCAGTGTCCTAATGCTCTGCATGTGTTCCTGTGCAGTCAGAGGAGGATGCCCTGGAGAAGGAGAGGGACATGGATATCCTCATGAAGGACTCAGACTGGGTAGCAGACTGGTCCAGTCGGCCCGAGAACATTCCCCCTAAGTGAGTGATGTACACAGTCCATTGCCCCTAAAACATACAAGTCTTAGTGTATCTGGTCTTCTTGGTAAATCCTAGTGTGTTTGCATTATACTACTTATGTCTGAACATTTTTGACATGATGAAGATAAGATTAATAATACTGTAATGGACAACGTTGGTTATGTTGATGAGGAGGATGTTAAAGTGGATGATGAGGATGACGATAATGTTGATAATTATGTGTCATTGCCTGTAGGGAGTTCCATTTCCGCCACCCCCGGCGTTCAGATACACTCAGCATGAGAAATACAGGGGTGATGAAGAAAGGAGGCGTCTTCTCTTCAGAGTTCCTCAAAGTGTTCATCCCCTCGCTGTTACTGTCACACATCCTGGTCCTGGGGCTGGGGTAAGAGCAAACATAGGACACTATTTGGCCATCAACCTCAGCTAGGCAATCATTTGTGTGATAAATGTGATGTCACTTTTTGTATGGTTGTGAAAAAGCCAAGTGATGACATTTATGGTTTGTTTCAACCCATCAATGGGTCTACCGGCAGAATAACATTTTCCATCATTTAGCCGTTAGCTGGCTAAGTAAACACTCTATTCATAGATGAATGTAGACACACACACCAATTCCCAAATGGAATCTCATGAACAGCTTTTCATTTCCGTTAGTTTACAGTTGTTAGCATACAATTTGAAAACCCCAATCTGATCCAATATAGAATGTGGTTAGGAAAATTGTTTTGGGAAATCAGATACCCCTGGAACAGAACTGCATGTACAGAAAATTATTAAACATTATAATGTGCTCACACACACACACACTTCCATGCAGTTTTCTGTATAGACCAGCAGAGGGTGTGTGGCGGCTGCAGACAGTGGGCAGCTGCAATGCTCCAGCCCTGTTTATGTCTGGGTCTGGCTGGTAAAACAGCTGCTGCTGGGATGGATGGACACCTGCATCACACCCTTAACACACACTTTATGACAGCATACATTACACATTACATGACATGGACACACTCCATCTATCGCTTATCAACCTACTAGTTATTGACTCAGGGTGTAACTGCCCTCTCCCTCTCTACCCCCTCAGGGTGTACATTGGGAAGAGGTTGACCACGCCCCCTACGAGCTCTTTCTGAGCGGGAAGCTGAAGAAGTGCCTGAGGAGTGGCCGGAATTTGTTGGGGGAAATGTTGCTGTTGTGCGAAGAATGCCCCTCTCTCCCCAAACTTTCATTTTCTCTCTCTCTGTGTGCTTTTTCCCACCTTCCAAAGCATTTCCTCCTCCTGTACCCTGCACAGACCTGAGATGTGCTGTGTTCTCAGGACAGATGCGTTGCCTTTCCTCTTATTTTACCCCCCACCCCCTTTCTATCAGTCATTTTCTGACTGCTTCCAGAGTAAGGCCATATTCCCTTTTGCTCCTGTTTGTGTGGGTATTTTGGGAAGCGGCAAAGCGTAAAACCAAACCAAACTCTTCTACACACTAGCTCCAGCACTCTGTAATTGCCTGGTTGTACAGGAGAGAGCTGTCTACCCCACAGATTTAGAAGATTGTAGTAGCCCAAGATCGTGCCACCTACAACGGTGGTTGGGTGAAACTCTCAAAACCTGAAAAGGTCCAACCAAATTCAGAAAGAAAGAAGCTAACCTGAAGATGTGAGCATGCCTTTGAAAGTAATCATTTTGTTCAGAACTAGAAATACAATTTACTGTAGTTGTTATGGTCTTTTCGTATAATTGTTTTTACCACCAGTGATGTATTGATAATGATGCCTGGGTTTTGATTATGAAGGGTGTTACCATAGAGGCCATCTCAAACCCACAACCTCCTGACGCTGTGCACTGGAGGGAGTCTGCTTGGCCTGCCAGATGAAATGTGTACAAGACCTATGGTATCAGGAATATATCTACACCTTGATGGAAAATATCATATTACACATGTATCCAGTTGTTAATCATTATAAAAATGCCTGTCTTTTCAAATGCATAAAAAAAAAATGAGAACGGACATGAATGACTGGAAAATCATGGAAATATTGCTCCTATTAAATGTACACTGACACACTGGGGAGGAAGTTGGGTAGCCACACTGGGGTGGGTAAGGTGTGTTTGTTCTGGTACATGTCATTCTCTTGTTTGTCTGTTTTGAGTTCTCTTCAACATATCATGGGCCTAGTTATTTAGGCCTGGTTCACTGGGTAGACCTCTGATATGCCTCCACAACTGTGACAGGGCAACTTCCCACCTTACACACTTGTACAACATACATGCATACACTTAAGAACAAGCTCATGTAGGTTGTTAGTCCAGCTGGAGAGAGATAAACCCTGATGTTTCACCACACTGATAGCAGGAGCTGGAATGGAGTCCAGATGCAGACTAGTTTGAGAGGCACAACCCCATGTACAAACTCAAGCATGCTCTGAATGTCACGGCGACCTATGTCACAGTGCCAAAAGATGGACAGCAGGATTTCAAAGTTGACACAATGTGCTGTTTGTACTAACACCACCATTGTACCTTGTTGAGGTCAACCTCTTGTTACAGTATCTTATTTTTATTTCCCTTTACACAACTGCCAAAAGGAACTGAGGGCCACCTTGAAACTCAACTGTTCTGAGTAACCACGTGCCTCACTTCTGTTCCCAAGCCTCCATCGTGGTTCTTTTGGTCTCATTGTCTGTCTGTGATCAGACAGTGAGAGGCTACTCTATGGCATGTATTTGGGTTTTAAAAAAATTCTCAATGAGTTTTATTGTCTGTATTGTTGTGACATTGGAGTCTGAACACACAGAGCATGAGGTATAGCTACAGGGATTTAATGAAGATTATGTTTTAAATCTGAAATTAGGATGTTAGAAAGACACCTTGCAGGGCCCAAAGTGAAAAGTAAAATGTATGTGTAGAAATGGTTCCCCTCGACTGCTATTCTAACAACAGTTATTATCTTACACATCCTTTTGATTTAATTTGATGTTTTTTCCCCTCACTGGAAAATGTAAAAAATAATTTGTGATTAAAATTCCCTGAATCAAGCTGAATTGTTGCTAAGGATTCTTTTGTGACTGATCAACTATACTGAACAAAAATATAAACGCAACATGCAACAATTTCAACGATTTTACTGAGTTACAGTTCATATAAGGAAATCAGTCAATTGAAATAAATTCATTAGGCCCTAATCTATGGATTTCACATGAAAAGGCAGGGGCGCAGCCAATCAATGAGTTTTTCCCCACAAAAGGGCTTAATTACAGACAGAAATACTCCTCAGTTTCATCAGCTGTCCAGGTGGCTGGTCTCAGACGATCCCACAGGTGAAGAAGCCATGGTAGAGAAATGAACATTCAATTATCTGGCAATGGCTCTGGTGGACATTCCTGCAGTCAGCATGCCAATTGCACGGTCCTTCAAAACTTGAGACATCTGTGGCATTGTGTTGTGTGACAAAACTGCACATTTTAGAGTGGTCTTTTATTATCCCCAGCACAAGGTGTTATGATCATGCTGTTTAATCAGCTTCTTGATATGCCACACTTGTCAGGTGGATGGATTATCTTGGCAAAGGAGAAATGCTCACTAACGATTGTAAACAAATTTGTGCACACAATTTGAGAGAAATAAGCTTTTTGTGCATATGGGAAATTTCTGGGATCTTTTATTTCAGCTGAACATGGGACCAACACTTGTTGCGTTTATATTTTTGTTCAGTATAAAAACACACACAAACTTAAATGCATCATCTTACTATTCTCATTGTTTTGGTATTTTCCTAAACAGCTATTTTTCTTGGAAGGAAATTTGGGGAAAGCATAGGAGGGACACCCCTTATAGCTGCATCTGGTCTCTTACCCAGGTACCAAACAGAGCCCATTCCTGCTTTGCTTCAGATAAAAGCCAGCAGGTAGAGGCAGGGTGGTATGACAGCTAGCCAGTCCTCATACCTCACCCTATAACACTGATAGATTAATTATTAATGACTAATTATTACACCCTGAAACGGTGTATAATGTGTTAGAAATGTGTGAGTGTAGGACCAGTAAAGGCTATGGCATTGAGCCACTATTTAGCAATGTGAGTAAGAGTTAGGCCAGACAACAAAGACAACTGAGAAACTAAGATAAAGAGGCCTCCCAATTTAGGGAGGGGAGAAACTGTTATGAAAACATGGTGCAGAATATTGTGAGAACGGCAATAACTGAGTAATGCAGGGAGTAGGATATGTGTGTGTGTGTGTGTATGTATGTGTGTATGCATGTGTGTATATGTGTGTGTGTGTGAACTGAAGGTCAGTAGAGCAGTTTTAGAGTGGAAAACTACAGCCCGCCTACAGAGGGGAGGGATTTATTTTTGTATGACGTATGAGTATAAAAGATGGACTCTGAAATTGTGATGGCAGAATTCTCAATGAATAAATATCTCTGACTATGCAGACCGGGACTCTGGCCGTTACTTAAATCCCAAAAGACTTACAACCTTTTGGGAGACGCACAGAGAAACTGAAATAGTTTGTTAAATAATTCACATAACAAACACACAGTCAGATGTCATATTCCAGAGCCTTCATTTGGAACTGGTCAGGCATACACAACACCAAATGTTTAGTGGAGTGCATGCCTGCACAGTCATTTGTCATGCAATGGAGCTTGTCGTGTCCCTCCCTGAATGTCCCTAGGGAGGCCACATGCCTGGTTCTGCTGACTTGCCTCTCATGTTGTTTCTCATATCGCTGTCTTTAAATCAAATCAAATGTTATTTGTCACATACACGTGTTTAGCAGATGTTATTGCAGGTGTAGCGAAATGCTTGTGCTTCTAGCTCCGACAGTGCAGTAATATCTAACAAGTAATATCTAACAATTTCATAACATATACCCAATACACACAAGTCTAGTAAGGAATGGAATTTAAGAATATATACATATATGGACAAGCAATGACAGAGCGGCATGGACTAAGATACAGTATAATATTATAGAATAGAATACAGTATATACATATGAGATGAGTAGTGCAAGATATGTAAACATTATTAAAGTGACTAGTGTTCCATTTCTTAAAGTGGCCTGTGATTTCAATAGGCAGCAGCAGCCTCTAATGTGCTAGTGATGGCTAATTAACAGTCTGATGGCCTTGAGATAGAAGCTGTTTTTCATTATCTCTGTCCCATCTTTGATGCACCTGTACTGACCTCGCCTTCTGGCTGATAGCGGGGTGAACAGGCAGTGGCTCGGGTGGTTGATGTCCTTGATGATCTTTTTGGCCTTCCTGTGACATCGGGTGCTGTAGGTGTCTTGGAGGGCGGGTAGTTTGCCCCCGGTAATGCGTTCGGCAGACCGCACCACCATCTGGAGAGCCCTGCGGTTGCGGGCGGTGCAGTTGCTGTACCAGGCGGTGATACAGCCCGACAGGATGCTCTCAATTGTGCATCTGTAAAAGTTTGTGAGGGTTTTAGGTGCCAAGCCAAATTTCTTCAGCCTCCTGAGGTTGAAGAGGCTCTGTTGCGGCTTCTTCACCACACTGTCTGCGTGGGTGGACCATTTCAGTTTGTCAGTGATGTGTACGCCAAGGAACTTGAAGCTTTCCACCTTCTCCACTGCGGTCCCGTCGATGTGGATAGGGGGGTGCACCCTCTGCTGTTTCCTGAAGTCCACGATGATCTCCTTTGTTTTGTTGACATTGAGTGAGAGGTTATTTTCCTGGCACCACACTCCCAGAGCCCTCACCTCCTCCCTGTAGGCGGTCTCGTCATTGTTGGTAATCAAGCCTACTACTGTTGTGTCGTCTGCAAACTTGATGATTGAGTTGGAGGCGTGCTTGGACACGCAGTCATGGGTGAACAGGGAGTGCAGGAGGGGGCTGAGCACGCACCCTTGTGGGGCCCCAGTGTTGAGGATCAGCGAAATGGAGATGTTGTTTCCTACCTTCACCACCTGGGGGCGGCCCGTCAGGAAGTCCAGGACCCAGTTGCACAGGGCGGGGTTCAGACCCAGGGCCTCGAGCTTAATGATGAGCTTGGAGGGTACTATGGTGTTGAATGCTGAGCTATAGTCAATGAACAGCATTCTTACATACAGTTGAAGTCGGAATTTTACATACACCTTAGCCAAATACATTTAAACTCAGTTTTTCACAATTCCTGACATTTAATCCCTGTCCACTCTGTCCGGACTGTATTTGACCAGGGGTATCGTTTGTGGGGGTTTTTTTGGTTAGGTGGGAAAGGGTGGTTCATTGGGTGTGTGTGGTTTTGGTAGTTCTTGTGTAGTCATGTGATCCCATCGGAGGTACCTGTCACTGTCGGCTCGTTACTCTATTGGGAGCCTTCGTAGTTTTCCTTTGGGAATGTTGTGTTTTGTTCCGTTGTCGGACGTGATTCATGAGTCGTTTTTGTTTGTAGTTCGAAACTTTACTTAATAAAGTCATGTTTCTTGCACCGCTGGCCTTGGTCTCCTTTCTTAAGACCGTGACAGAAAAACCCACCAATCTAGGACCAAGCGGCGTGTCAAGCGGCAACAGGATCCACCTACACAGGATTCATGGACATGGGAGGAGATACTGGATGGAAGGGGTCCTTGGGCACAACCGGGAGAATATCGCCGCCCTCGTGAAGAGCTGGAGGCAGCTAAAGCCGAGAGGAGGCAATATGAGGAGGCAGCACAGAGGCAAGGCTGGAAGCCCGTGAGCACTAGCCAAACATTTCTTGGGGGGGGGCCTTAAAGGGAGTGTGGCGAAGTCAGGTAGGAGACCTGCGCCTACTCCCTGTACTTACCGTGGAGAGCGAGAGTACGGGCAGACACCGTGTTACGCAGTAGAGCGCATGGTGTCTCCTGTACGCGTGCATAGCCCGGTTCGGTACATTCCAGCTCCAAGGTATCGGCCGGGCTAGATTGAGCGTTGAGCCGGATGTCATGAAGCCGGTCCAACGCATCAGGCCACCAGTGCGTCTCCTTGGGCCGGCTTACATGGCACCAGCCTTACGCATGGTGTCCCCGGTTCGCCTACATAGCCCGGTGCGGGTTATTCCTCCTTCCCGTACTGGTCGGGCGACGGGGAGCATACAACCAGGTAAGGTTGGGCAGGCTCAGTGCTCAAGGGAGCCAGTAAGCCTGCACGGTCCGGTATTTCCGGCGCCACCTCCCCGCTCCAGCCCAGTACCACCAGTGCCTACACCACGCACCAAGCCTCCTGTGTGTCCCCAGAGTCCTGTGCGTCCTGTTGCTGCTCCCCGCACTAGCCCTGAGATGCGTGTCCTCAGCCCGGGACCACCAGTTCCGGCACCACGCACCAGGCCTATAGTGCGTCTCGGCCGGCCAGAGTCTGCCGTCTGCCCAACGGCGCCTGAACTGCCCGTCTGCCCAACGGCGCCTGAACTGCCCGTCTGCCCAACGGCGCTTGAACTGCCCGTCTGCCCAACGGCGCCTGAACTGCCTGTCTGCCCAACGCCGTCTGAACTGGCCGTCGGCCAAGCGCTGCATGAACTGCCCGTCTGTACTGAGCCTGCAAAGCCGCCCGTCTGCCATGAGCCTTCAGAGCCGTCCGCCAGACAGGATCAGCCAGAGCCTTCCGCCAGACAGGATCAGCCAGAGCCTTCCGCCAGACAGGATCAGCCAGAGCCTTCCGCCAGACAGGATCAGCCAGAGCCTTCCGCCAGACAGGATCAGCCAGAGCCTTCCGCCAGACAGGATCAGCCAGAGCCTTCCGCCAGACAGGATCAGCCAGAGCCTTCCGCCAGACAGGATCAGCTAGAGCCTTCCGCCAGACAGGATCAGCCAGAGCCTTCCGCCAGACAGGATCAGCCAGAGCCTTCCGCCAGCCATGAGCAGCCAGATCCGTCAGCCTGCCATGAGCAGCCAGATTCGTCAGCCAGCCATGAGCAGCCAGGTCCGTCAGCCTGCCATGAGCAGCCAGATCCGTCAGCCAGCCATGAGCAGCCAGATCCGTCAGCCAGCCATGAGCAGCCAGATCCGTCAGCCAGCCATGAGCAGCCAGATCCGTCAGCCAGCCATGAGCCGTCCAGCCAGGATCCGCCAGAGCCGTCCAGCCGGGGTCCGCCAGCCAGCCAGGATCCGCCAGAGCCAGCCA